CTTCTTCATTCCCCGTGATCTCTTCATTTTAACTTCTCCTCAATGCTCAGATGTGAATATTCACAATTGAAAACCTTGGGATTTTGAATGTTGAGCGTTTTGAAGCTACAAAGCATTCATGTGTGAATGGGGAAATAAACACTTCCTGTACTAGATCAACAATGCTGCTCCTCCACAGATACAGTATGATGAATGAGCATTGAGTCTACTGGTAGGTTACTGGCTGGGTCAGTAGATGAACAAAGAAAAAGATGCTTAGACTAAGCTATTGTCAGGGCTCTCCAGTTTGGTACTATGGGGCATCTGTTGTCGGCTGTCCCTCCTCTTCCATGAAGCCGTCAGCTGCAGCTCCTCTCCCCTGAAGGCGGCAGCTGCTGTGGGCAGACTAGAACTCTCTGTAAATAGGTAAGTATAAGCATCCTCCTTCTTCAGGGTAGTTAGAATAGGAGTTAGAAGGGGGGTGGGAGCAGATTTAAGATTATGTGATTATTGCCTGAAACGTTAAATCCTCTAAGTTGCGAGGTGGTACATTCAAAGATTGGACCTGTTTTTCCAGCACATCCCACAGATGCTCAATTGGATTGAGATCTGGAAAATTTGCAGGCCAAGTAAACATCTCAAACTCATCGTTGTGTTCCTCAAACCATTCTTGAACCATTTTTGAAGTGTGGCTGGGTGCATTATCCTGCTGAAAGGATACGTTCATCAGTGAATACTGTTTCTATAAAGGAGTGTAATTGGTCAGCAATGATGTTTATGTGGAGGGTACATGTCAAAGTAACAGTAACAGAGTGACAGGTTTCCCAACAGAACATTGCCCAAAGCATCACACTGCCCCTGCCGACTTGCCTTCTTCCCATAGTGCATCTTGGTGCCATCTCTTCCACAAGTAAGCTTCACATACACCTGACCATCCACATAATATAAAAGAAAATGTGATTCGTCAGACCAGGCCATCATCTTCCATTGCCCCATGTTCCACTTCTGATACTCATGTGCCTATTGTAGGTGCTTTTGGATGTGGACACGGGTCAGCATTGGCTCCCTGATCGGTCTGCAGCCATACAGCCCCACGGGCCTCACAGTTTGTTGTCTGCTTTCAATATATCAACTTTATGGACAACTTGTTTGCTTGCTGCCTAATATATGTATAAAAAGGAAAAAAAAACCTAGTGGTGATCAAATACCAGAAAAAGAAAGCTCTATTTGTGTGAATAAAATTACAGAAATGTAATTTTGTGTACAGCATCGCATGACCTTGAATTGTCAGTTAACCTCTTCACGCCGGCCGAGCGCAAATGTGCGGCCTAGACGCAGAGCAGCCGCCCATTTGCATTCTATTAAAAAAGAACATGTGCTGAGATCGCGCGCCCTGCACGCTCCCAGCATACATATCCGGTACTCACGGAAAGGTCTCGATCTCCTCTTTCGATCGGGACCCTTCCCGATCATGTGACCGCCGTGATGGCAAGACACGGCGGTCACATGACCCTAAACCCTGCCCCTGCCTCCCTGCTTCTGAAACCCTTAAAGGGCCGGGAGGCGCCGGCACAAAGGGGTTAAAGTAGCTCAGTGCTGCATAGCAAAAACTGGCCTGGTCATGAAGGGGGGGGGGTAAAACTTTCCAAAGATTAAATGGGTAAAGCAAAGCTTTGCTTGATCTCTTGCTCAGTCCTCTTTTATCATCTGAACTGACTGTCCCTTTATAAATACTCCTGGAGAACGGGATCAAATTTAATTGCAGATATTGCATGCAGAGTACGAAAGATACCATTATTGCAGAAATTAGTTGAGATCCCTGTGGGGGTTTATTTACTAAAGCTGGAGAGTGCAAAATCAGGCTCACTTCTACATAGAAACCAATCAGCTTCTAACCTCAGCTCGTTCATTTAAGCTTTGGCAATAAAACCTGGAAACTGATAGGTTTCTATGCAGAAGTGAGTCTGATTTTTGCGCATTCCAGTTTAGTAAATAAACCCCTTTGTGCTTGTGATGAGTTTCACACAGCATGTAAAAATCAATGAAGTTTCCTGCAGTTTAAAAACATGCATTAACTGCTTTTTATACTATCCACTACATCATGAAGAGGGGACTGGGTAGGGGAATATGTTGCACTGCACGTACAAAACAACCCCTTGGCAACGAGCGTACACAAATTAGCGGCCCCACTGGACTGGGCTTTTTTCCGTGGGTCCGCTAATTTGCACGCCGCATGGCACGCTCCCAGCACAAAGACCGGGGTGTCAGTGAGACTCTCAGGTCCCTTTCTAACGATTGGGACCCAGAACTCCCAATTCTGGGTCACATGATCGCTGTGAAAGCCATATACATATGTGGAATTGCTGCGATCGTCAGGAGCAGGAGAAATGTTGGGTTGTTCTTTGGTGGATGGTTATGGTGGTAGCAAGAAATATACAACTAAATTAACCTACCTAGTGGTTTTTCTCCTTCACTGATGTGCGCTAATGAGGCTGCAGTGATAGGCACTGATAGGCGGCATTGACAGGCATAACTGATGGACACTGAAAGGCAGCACTCATATATGGCACTGATAGCCAGCACTGACTGGCACTGATAGCCAGCACTGACTGGCATTGATAGGCGACACTGACTGGCACTGATAGGTGGCACTAAAAGGCAGCTCAGATGGGGACTGATATGTGGCATTGATGTGTACTGGTAGGCACTGACAGGTGGCACTGATCATCAGTTCCCTTTGAGTAATGCCGATTACCGGCTCTCCTCAGCGTGACAACTCGTCAGGAGAGAAATGCCGATAACCAGCATTTCCTTATTTACATGCGATCAGCTGTGATTGGACACAGCTGATCACATGACCGAGCCAAGGTCATCGGCTCTTTCCGTTGATCGGTGATCCGCTGTCTCCCAAGTACACAGCGCACCACCGATCACCGCGCTGCGTGCCACAGGGGGTGCGTACGTGTAACGTCCTCCCAAAACAAGAGATCCGCCTTGCGCCCGTCATTTCCTTATATGTCGGGTGGGAGGCGGCTAAGCAAAAAGTAGTTTTTTTTCTTTGATAATAAAAGAAAAATCAAGAGATATCCATTACCATTTTACCACCAAACGAAAGCCCAATTTGTCATGAAAAAAACAAGGTATAATCCACCTGGATGCACAAAGTAGTTGTGATATGTACAGTTTTGCTAACACATGTCAAAGTTGCAAAATTGTGCTTCGGCATTAAGATTTGTTTAACCCTTAGGTGTAAAGGGGTTAAAGAAGTATTAAATCCAAAACCAAATATGTAATATACCACAGCTTACTAGTCATTAGATGTTGTGGCTGCATTAGGTTTCTTTTTTTTTTTTTTTCTTTTTTGTTTGGGCATTTTTCCCCTGTGTTTTCATCTGGTGATCTGGCCAGTAACACACCTCCTGTATTAGCGTGTCCCCACTCTGCATGAGTGAGCACAGGGGCATAGGAGACAGCAGCATTGTCAGTCGTGGGGGAGCAGAGTGTTAGATGTACTAGCATATTTAGATACACTAACAAATTGAAGTCACACTGCAGTTACACAAGCAGTTGTAGCAACAGGTTTGTTTCTTTTGGGATAAAGGTTTTGCATGAATAAAAAAAAGCTGGCCATTGTGAGCACCCCTGTCAGTGGTAAATGTTTCAACACTCTAACTACTACATTTTCAGGAGAGCTTGTTTTGTTGAAAAATAACAGACTTACTGGCTAAATCACTGGGTAACAATCAAGGAAAGAAAACCTCAAAAAGAAAACTAATGCAGCCACCACATCTAGAAATTGGAAAGCTGCAATATAATAAATGTTTGCTTTTGGGCTTAATTCTACTTTAATGGAATGCTGCTTGGCATTTTATAGCTTGCCTATTCTGGAATAAAGGTTGTTGGCAGCTTTCTGAAGCACAGGTGGCAAACACAAGACTCGCATGCTGAATCCTGCCTGACAGGGCTTGTCATGCGGCACGCTTAGCTGCCGTTGGCCACCATCTCCTGCTCACACCATCTGCTTTCCTCTGTCACATTCTCCTAGGCAACAGTTATGAACACTTCCCACTCTCTCCCCAGCGGTGCCGGCTCTGTGTAGCTGAGCGCATGCACTGTCAGTCCGGCATGGCCTATCAGCTGTGGAGGTACCTGACAGCTGTGACGGCGGTGTTCTTCTCCATCCAGTGGGCTGCATCCTGAGGGCGGTCTTTTTTGGACTTGCTGCACCCAATAGTTGCCATGAAGAGAGGCAGTGTTTTAAAAACCAGCTTACATTATACATCTTACATGTGAGTGCAATTGTTTCAATGATTTTTATGCTGAAATATAACATATTGTACTATGGCACTGGTTCTGGAGTTGATCCACCATACAAAGTGGTACTAACTGGAGCCCAATACACAGGGAGGGAGCTGCACATGAGAGGTGCTAGAGATGGGCCAGGTAGGAGAGAGTACAGATGTCAGGTTTGCTTTTGGAGGGGGGGTTGGGGGGCTGTGGAGGCAGATGTGTGCACTGTTGGGGGGGGGATGGGACAGAGATCGGAACCCAGGAGGAGGCATGGAAATGAGATGTTGCACATTGTGCATATGGCACTCCTGAACCCTGAACTCCTGCACTCTGTACGTCGTGCACTCCTGAACCCTGCATTCTGTACGTCGTGCACTCCTGAACCCTGCATTCTGTACGTCGTGCACTCCTGAACCCTGCATTCTGTACGTCGTGCACTCCTGAACCCTGCATTCTGTACGTCGTGCACTCCTGAACCCTGCACTCTGTACGTTGTGCACTCCTGAACTCTGTAGATAACGCACTCCTGAACATAGCACACCCCAGATACAACCAGCCCTTTCAAGGCAACCATACTACTGATGCGGCCCACGATGAAATTGAGTTTGACATCCATGTTCTAAAGGCTCAAGTTGGCTTCTCTCTGTTTTATTGGTATTTTCCACTGTGTAACAAAATAAAGAACAGTACTCCCAAGTTTAAAACATTTAACACATTTTTCTTTTCTAACAGGGAACAAAGAAAAGGGCTGGAATGACCCTCCCCAATTCTCTTATGGCTTGCAGGTGTCTGGAGGTGGAAAACGCACACTGTTGAATAAAAGAGTACCAGTACCGTTACAGGATCCTCCTACAGGTAGGAGACAGGAGAGGATTCTTAGTGCTCTTCCTGAGTGAATCACAGTAGGCAGTGAATGTTTCTATAGAGAGGATTACAAGTTTATGTATTAAAGCAAGCTATAGATGATGCTCTTAGATTGTAAGTTGTAATGAGCAGGGCCCTCTGTTTCCTCTAGTACCAAATTGTATTGTAACTGTTACATCTGCCTTCATTTTGCAAAACGGTGTGCAAACTGTTGGTGCTATATAAATCCTGTATAATAATGATAATGTAATTTTCTTTCCTGAAACACCGACTGTATTGATGGGGGAATCCCTCCCATGGAGCTATTGTGTTCTGCTGGGGGAGCACAGGGAGCCCTCCCAGCCAACAAAACACCGCTAGCAGTACGCATCTGAAAAATCCGACAGGCTGCTTTGTACTGAAGTCAATCGATGGTTCAACTTCAATACAACCAGCCTGTCCATAGATGGATCTCTGCTGAACCAGCCGAGATCCGATCTATGGCCGGCTTTACTGTATGTTACATTCAGACTAAGGAAAAATGTCACTGCTGTAATTTGACAACATTGGGATTACTTATTGATGATGAAGATCATAGATAGACCTGTCTAGACAGTTTCCAGATTGTCCTGTAGTAGATACACCTGCACAATATCTTTTAAACCTCCCTGATTTATGCCAGTGGGAACCTGTTTAAAAAATGTTTCTGTATTAGACTGTATGGCTTCTCAATTCTGTATTGTATTTACTCCTGACCACAAATTAAAGGCTCCTTCACATCAACCTGTACACTAAAACATGTACATACTGGTGTACATTGTGAAAGGATGGTGCTATGCATTGTCACAATGCAGCAGGTAGTTTACTTTTTTCTTTTTTTACTTTGCTGAAGTGTCACAAAATGACATGTCATTAAAGTCCATGTGCTGTGGTGTTGGGAGTTGCATTGTGTAAAAATGCAGACAATTGTTTTCTATTTTCCCTTGTGTTGGGCATGTTTTTTGATCTATGCTGATCAGTGCAGCTCAAAGGATATGGTATGATGGAGCCCTTAATAAAATTAACTGTAAAAGGTAGTTCACAAAGATTGCCAGACAAGTTACCACCAGCTTTAGGATGGTGACAACTAAGAGTTCCCTTAGCTGTCTATGGAAGAGAGAAGGAAAAAGGAGGTGTTAGAGGTGGTAATAAAATAACTACAACAGAATAAATAATAAAGTATGAGAAAACAGGGCTTTCATTTAAAAATAAAAATTGCACATTTTGGTGGCATTTTATGTTTGTGAATTGAATTTCTTTGCGAGGAAATTATACATTTTAGTACATCAAGCCTAATGTCAGTTGGTTTCTGAAGATCTTTTCTGTTTTAACGTCAATACTCTTACAGTAATATGCTGTCAGTTTATGTTACTAAAATCTTTTGCATGTGTGCGTTTTTTAATGTGTTAATACTTTTTGTTGCCTTACTACATTTAGAAAGGATTTCAGGAGTAAACAGTACAAAGAATGATGACATGTCAAAACACAAAAAACAAACACATTGCTTTTAGATATTTTAATTTTTTTATTAACTATTACCCTTTCACACTGACGAACCGATCGGTTCTGCATGTCCGTTTGTTTGATTGGACCAGCACAACTATCACATCAGCATCCAATCTGATCCTGTCTACTAAAAACAGACGGATGGGGATCCGTTCCCCATCCGTCCGACAGATCAGATGACTGTCGGATGTAAAACAACAGGCGGTCTGTTTCCATCCCACCACCCCATAAAGAACAGCAGGCTGTTAATCCAGACCTGTCATCTGACAGTTTGGCAGGGATCAGCAGAGAGATCCCCCATTGAGCAGGCAAATTCGCTTGATTGAGTCCACCCCATCGCAAAGGGGCCTAAAGGCTCATGCACATTTTTACACTCAGCCCCATACAGCGTGAAGTACCCTCTACTTTTCTGTCCTAGTGCTGAGCTGCATGTAGCAGCCTATATTAGTGAATGGACATGCATCAGCTATATGGACTGACCTACCCATTCGCGTTTGACAGGTACACGGGGACTGGTACATGGATCCAAGCACAGAGCATTTATATTTACAGTCATGCACCAGTCTCTGTGCCTGTCAAACTTGGCTGTGTGAGTGAGTCCATTTATTAATATAGGCTGCCTGCATGTTGCTGAGTGCTAGAACAGATAAGTAAACAAGCTCTAAAGCCCTAAAACTGGCCACACATCTTAAAGTCCATATGTACAATCTTAGGGTCCATGCACACTGGCTTAAAAAATGCTGCTGCTAGAGGAGTTTAGCGTTTTGCCTGTAAAAGCAACTGTTATCTTATGTGTCTATGCACATTAGGACATTTACAAGCAAATTTTAAGTTCAGCATTCAGAGGCAGGAAAAAAAAAACCCTTCTGTTTTGCTTTTTGAGAGCAGTTTTCTGGCAGAAAAAATGCTATACGCGTCTAAACTCTAGAACAAAAGACACTCAAAATTAGTGGGTTTTTTTTCTGCCGAGAGCACTGGCATTTTTTAAGCTGGTGTGCATGAACCCTTAGATATACCTACAAGCACGTGGGTGAAGTTTTAGCTAAAAATTTAATTTTGCCCTAAACATTTATATCCGGTCATAGATTGTACAGTCAGAATGTATTTGATATGGGTACTCTGGCTACTCTAAAGTGTAGCTAGAACCAAAAATGTTATATAATTTAATGTATTATAATAATATATTGCAAATTTCCAGTCCATTTTGTGGCTGCATTTGTTTTCTTCAGGCTTTTCTTCTGGTAATCCTGTTAACACACATCATGTCCCTGGATGGCTACACTCACTCCTTCGCTGTATCTATGGAGGCAACCACAGTTGCCATCGGACATCGAGGCAGCAGTGGGAGCCATTGGCTCCTGCTGCTGTCAATCACAGCCTGTGAGGATGGAGCAGGGGCGAGCAGGGCTCTGTGTTTCAATGAATAGAGTGGAGTGTGGCTCGGGATCAAGTCTCAGTGAGTATCTCCGTAGTAAGTGGCTTGTCAGTGGGGAGGAGCGCCGGCAAGGAACCCCAGAAGAGGAGGTCTGAGGCTACTAAACCAATAAAGCAGTAAAGTATGCATCACGCTGCTGTAGAGTGACATTAGTGAAGTGTACTTTTGTACACTTAAAATTCAGTGCCAAAAAAAGGGAACTGTGATGCACACCACACTGCCCCACACTGCAGTCAGAACTGACAGCTGCCATAGAGCTAATTCACTGAGGTATACTCTCTGGCAATTGTCTGCTAAGTGTAAACAGGCGCTTAAAGCCAATCTGGCCGTACACTGATCGAAATTTGGCAGCTCAGCAGGGACTGGACGAATTTTTGATCAGTGTGTAGCCATTTTCTACTAGATAGAAGTTGATTTGACTTTCGTCAAAGGGACATGTGGAAAAACCTTTGTCAATTATCTGTTGCAGCCACTGATCAATCTATTGTGACAGCGGCGGGACTCCCCTGTCAGAATACAATGTCCCGGCCGGGGGGGGGGGGGGGGGGGGGGGGTGCCTCCCTCAACCTTGTTTGTATGGATAGAGGAATTGTGCTAAATGGAAAAAAGAACAAACCATGCATGGCAAGCTTTTACTCTCACTTTTGTTAATTTTGACTTTACTTGCCTGACTTTAAAACCAAGAAGACAACAGTATTTTTGGAGCCCTTCTATAAATAAATTAGGTCACATTTCATGCTCGGCAGAGCTTTTGTATTCTGCCACTAGGGAGCTTCCCTGCTACCAGAATACACTCATCAATACCACCAACTATAGGCGATGGCACTGATCCAGTGAAAATGTTTTAACAGGCTGGTTGTACAGAAATCGATCGAGGGATCGACTTTTTTACAACCAGCCTGTCCGTTCGATGGATTGAATTGTAGGTGCCTACAATAAATCTTTATTCAGCACCCCCCCACCCCGTCACATGACCATAGAGACAGGAAAAAGGAGAAATTTTGCTTACTTTTTACAGCTCCTCTGAAAACAGGCATCTGCTGGACATGTATATTGGGGGGGGGTGATGGGGGTTGTAGATGGTCCTCTCCACAGCTTCCAGCACTTTGCATTTTGCCACTCGTGCTGCTCCAACACTCATACAATACATACAAACTTGGGCATTTCAAACATGTTTGGCACAAGACATTTGGAAGGCCAACATGTGTCTGTTTTTTTTTTTTTGTTTTTTTTTAGATAAATTTTTTTATTGAAAATGTTTTTCAAAGTAGCAAAAAACAGTTACAAAATAAATGCCCAATATGAGACCACAATTAGAGCATTGTTCATATGGACAGTGCAAATACCATGAGTTATTCAGGTTATGGACTGCACAAATGTATGTACAGTTGACATTAAAAGTGTATGTTGTGTAAGCAAAAAAATCGGTAGTTAGCTTATAGAAGCACAAGGCTAAGGGTAGATGCACCAGCCAGACCCGTCATTCTGTATGTTCCATCATGTAACAAGAGCGTGCAATACAATTGAAACAGGTAGAAACGCTGATGTGAATTGGCAGAACTGAATGCAGTAGTTAGGTAGAAAAAGGGGGATTAGTAGTAGGGACAAGAAAGCAAAGAAAGGGCAACATAGTTATAGAAAAGAGAGAGTACATGGTAAGGAAATGGTAGAGGTAAACCAGTGTCCTCATTTGTTATTCTGAGCCTGAACCCTGTCCACACACAACTCAGACAGCTTCAAAATAAATATATAGTGAGGTTGCTAGGATTATTCAGGGGGATATTCCATAGTATGCCATGAATTCCAAGCCTTGTTATGTTTATTAACAGAATTATTGATAGTAACTGTAAGGTATTCCATCCTTTTAACCCCTGATCCTATTCTGAAGCTCCACCAAAGCGGGAGGTGGATGCCCTTTTCAGTTAAGGGCAACTAGGCATCATGCTTCCTTAAAAATATGCACCAACAGTTGATTGGATGTTTTGGATAAAGCAGGAGGAGGTCAACCTAAAAGGTAAGTTTTAGGTGTAAATGGGATCCAGGTGTCAAAGAGGGTATGACCAGCTTGCCAGTAAGGTTTAATAAGCGGGCAATACCAGAATGTGTTGAATGGTTCAAAGATCCTTTTGGCATCTCCAACACATGTCATCAGCAGAGGGGTATAAGAGGCTTACCTTATCTGATTGATTGCTCCTGTGGACAGGTGTCTTTTATACAGGTAACAAAATGAGATTAGCAGCACTCCCTTTAGAGACTGCTTCTAATCTCAGCTTGTTACCTGTATGAAAGACACCTGGTAGTCAGAAATCCTGCAGAATGATAGGGGATCAAATACTTATTTCCCTCATGAACATGCAAATCAGTGCATAAATTGTTAGACATGCATTTCTTCTGATTTTTTTGTTGCTATTCTGTCTCTCAGTGTTACAATACACCTACCATTCAATTTTTAGACTGATCATTTCTTTGTGAGTGGGAAAACATTCAAAATCAGCAGGGGATCAAATATTTATTTCCTTCACTGTATTTGTAAGTATCCAAAAAGAGCCTGTTTGGGGAGATCATAAGTATTTTGCAGATCTTAGAAGGACCTTAGTACTCATCCATCCACCAGGTGGTCAAAGTGGAATAGGCCCCTTTCTTTCCAAGCATGAGACCTCTATATAGTTAGACTGTCTGCAATACTGGGGTGAATAGGAAGCAAGTGGCATATTAGTTGTTAAGGGGAGGTGGCTTTTAGTTCAGAGCCTAAGGATGTAAGTCTGGCTATCTTTTTATCATTATTGCTAGCTAACCTTTGATAGCATATTGCTTTAGTGTTTGGGAGAGGCTGCTGTCCAATATATGATATTTTGTGTATGCATAGATACAGTTTTTGTGTGTAACAGTTTGGTCATTAAGTTACATATGGATTTAATTAAATTAATTTGTGGTTAGAACATGTTTCTGTTTTATTTTAGCATCTTCCGGGCAACCACTTTCTTCTTCCACCCCTCCAAAGATGCCACCAACCGATCCAAAAACCAACACTGGCCCTCCTCCTTTAGGACAAGTCTGCTCACCCCTCAGAACAGGCAACTTAAAGTCGTGTTCCAGTCAAACAGAATCTGAGGCTCCTGTAGACATTAAGGATGTTCTAACCCCACTCCATGACATTTTGGAGGACTGCAAGGACTTAATTAAGGTGTTTCCTGTTGAATTAAACTGGACCATCACAAATTTCTATTTGTTTAGACGAATGTTGCTGATTATTTGTAACAAATGTATTATTCTTAATTTTCTAAATGACGGGGTAGATGATTGTAGTGTGTAAATTTTGCCCATATTGTCACCTCTGTTTTCTAGTGCTTGAAATGTTTTTGATCTGCATGATGTCCAGATCAAGCAACCAGCCTGCATGGAATAAGAAACACTTTTTTTTTAGGATTCTAAAATCACTAAAAACATAAAATTCAAGACTCAGGTTGCAGGGTCACTGAGGTCTTCCTGAGAATCGGAGACATGGGGAATGTAACTTCTGTAGCTCACATTTCAGCTGTTCTGGGTTCTGTAATGACAAAACAGCTTACTATTACCCAAATATTATTATAGATTTTGGGAGGTATACCTCCCAATAGTAAGAGTTCTGACCTGATTTTTACCATACTTGTTTCCAGTTAGCGTAGAGATAGCTAACTAGCATTTTCAGGACAACAGTCGCAGCCTGCATCTCTCTAGGGACAAGTTTTCTTTTAAGAACTGGCTTGACTTAAAATCATGCTATACTACAAATATTAACATACTAAAAATAATATTTTTGTTAACTGTTAACCACTTCTAGTCCGGCCCATGTACATAGATGGCCGGACTGGAGCAGTGCAGCAGCGGGTTGCCATTTATAAATGGCGCCCACATTCATAGTCTGTGCACGCTCCTCCGGACACAGCGGAACACTGATCGCTGTACGGGACCTATGTGTGAGGTCCCGATTCATGTGATCACTGATTGGCTAATCAGTGTTCACATGAATAGTAGAAAGCAAGATGTCACTTCCTGACATCATTGCTTACTACCAGTGAAATCTGTGAATGATAACAAAGGTCACATGGTACAACGCTATTCACAACAGCCAGGTACCATGTGACAAGCTGTGATCAATCACAGCTAGCACAGTATTTCTCACTGGCTGCAAGAATGCAGCCAGAGAGTAGGATAAATGATTGCTTTTACAGCCTTTATGGGTGCAATAAGTATTAAAAAAAAAAATCACCCCCCACAAGTAGTAGGGTGGACCGTATGTTGCAAAAAAAAAAAACAAATAATATAAAAAAATAAAATAAAAATGTAAAACAAAATTAAGAAAAAGTATTATAATTTTTGGTTTTAAAGTAATTTGTTGTTTTTGTTTTTTTCACTAAAAAGATGACTGAATACATTTTGGTCACGATTTATGAAGAAAGATTATTTATTTGCAAAATTTTATAAGAAAAACACTTTTTTTTCAAACTTTTTGGACTTTTCATTTATATAGCAAAAAATGTAAAATCCCAGTGGTGAATAAATACCACCAAAATAAAATTTTATCTGTCTCAAAAAATTTTTAAAAATTCATCCAGTCCAGTGTTACATGACCACACAATTGTCATTCAAAGTGTGATAGCACTGAAAGCAGAAAATTGGCCTGGACAGAAAGAGGGTGAAGTGGTTAATATCCTTTTGAGTCAAGTATTGTTAAAATGTGTGAATATTACTATTTACCACTTTCACCCAGCAGGTGACAAAGTATATGCACAAACAGAACTCAACAAACACTCCTTTTATTGCAGTGGGCCACTTAGAAGAGATATGTACTTCTTTCTTTTACCAGAGACAGGACCATCTTAATTTTTCAGCGTGTTTAAGGTGGTCAATAAGCATGCAGGCAGCATAAGGCTTTCTTATTTAACAGTTCAACATGCTCTTCAAACTGTCATTGATCCAATGACCAGTGCAAATGTGTTGGCCATTTGTTAAAATCAATCATCTTCTGTTTTAAAATTCATATGTGAATTGTTTTATTTTCCAGAAACAAGTGTTTCTTGATATAAGCAAGAGACTTGCCATGTTGGAAGAAATGTGGAACAGTGGAAAGCTATCAAGTCCCGTGCAGAGAAGAATGGGAATACTGGTAAAGGGTAGGTACCCTGCTCGCACTTTCTACCTTTTATAGTAAAATTAAAGATGCAGTTTATATAGATTTGTATCCTCTGCCTAGGGCAAACCTGTATTGATGAGTTACAGATGTCATCATGCTAAGTGTCTTCTGTGAACACCTTTGTTTTATACCAAAACCTCCCAACCTGCAAGGACACTACTCCCTCAACCATGTAAATCCAGAAAACACTGATTACCCAAATCCTACCCTTTATGTAGAATATTCATAAAAATAGAGGTCACCCACAACCTTTTGATTGTATTCGGGGACCCTGGTTGGCATGTACCCCCACGGTCCCTGATGTGACTTAGAGTTCCTCTATTTTTCAGGATTCATGTGTCTTCTGTGTTCTCTAATATGAAGTAAATTGTTTGTTTTTTTTAATCAACAATATAATTGCATATACAGTGCCTTGAAAAGGTATTCACAACCCTTGAAATTTTCCACATTTTGTCATGTTACAACCAAAAACGTAAATGTATTTTATTGGCATTTTATGTGATAGACCAACACAAAGTGGAACATAATTGAGAAGTGAAAGGAAAATGATAAATGGTTTCAAAATTGTTTACTAATAAATATCTGAATAGTGTGACGTGCATTTGTATTCAGCCCCCTTTACTCTGATACCCCTAACTAAAATCTAGTGGATCCAATTGCCTTCAGAAGTCACCTAATTATTAGAGTCCACCTGTGTGTAACTTACTCTAAGTATAAATACAGCTGTTCTGTGAAGCCCTCAGAGGTTTGTTAGGGAACATTAGTAAACAAACAGCATCATGAAGGTCAAGGAACACACCAGACAGGCCAGGGATAATGTTGTGGATAAGTTTAAAGCAGGGTTAGGTTATAAAACAAAAAATATCCCAAGCTTTGAACATCTCACGGAGCACTGTTCAATCCATCATCTGAAAATGGAAAGAGTATGGCACAACTGCAAACCTACCAAGACATGGCTGTACACCTAAACTGACAGGCAGCGCAAGGAGAGCATTAATCAGAGAAGCAGCTAAGAGGCCCATGGTAACTCTGGAGGAGCTGCAGAGATCTACAGCTCAGGTGGGAGAATCCACAGGACAACTATTCGTAGCGCACTCCACAAATCTGGCCTTTATGGAAGAGTGGCAACAAGAAAGCCATTGTTGAAAGAAAGCCATAAGATATCCCATTTACAGTTTGCGAGAAGCCATGTGGGGGACACAGCAAACATGTGGAAGAAGATGCTCTGGTCAGATGAGACCAAAATTAAAATTTTTGGCCTAAAAGCAAAACGCTATGTGTGGCGGAAAACTAACCCTTCACATCATGCTGCACACACCCATCCCCACCGTGAAACATGTTGGTGGCAGCATCATGTTGTGGGGATGCTTTTCTTCAGCAGGGACAGGGAAGCTGGTCAGAGTTGATGGGAAGATGGATGGAGCCAAATATAGGGCAGTCTTAGAAGAAAACCTGTTAGTCTGCAAAAGACTTGAGACTGGGGTGGAGGTTCACCTTCCAGCAGGACATGATGCTAAACATACAGCCAGAGCTACAATGGAATGGTTTAGATCAAAGCATATTTATTTGTTACAATGGCCTCAAAGTCCAGACCTAAATCCAATTGAGAATCTGTAGAAAGACTTAAAAATTGCTATTCACAGACACTCTCCATCTAGTCTGACTGAGCTTGAGCTATTTTGCAAAGAAGAATGGGTAAGAATTTCACTCTTTAGATGTGCAAAGCCGGTAGAGACATCCCCAAAAAGACTTGCAGCTGTAATTCCAGCGAAAGGTGGTTCTACAAAGTATTGACTCAGGAGGACTGAATACAAATGCACGCCACACTTTTCAGATATTTATTTGTAAACAATTTTGAAAACTATCATTTTCCTTCCACTTCACAATTATGTGTCACTTTGTGTTGGTCTATCACATAAAATTCCAATAAAATACACTGCTCAAAAAAACTAAATAAACACTTTTTGAAAACCCATCAGATCTCAACGGGGAAAAATATGCTGGATATCTATACTGATATGGACTGGGTAATGTTTTAGGAACGTAAGGATGCCTCATCATTTGATGGAAATGAAAATTATCATCCTACAGAGGACTGAATTCAAAGACACCCCGAAAATCAAAGTGAAAAAATGATGCAGCCGGCTAGTCCATTTTGCTGAAATTTAATTGCAGCAACTCAATATGGTACTCAGTAGTTTGCATGCCCCCACATGCTTGTATTCATGCCTGACAACATCGGGGCATGCTTCTAATGAGACAGATGGTGTCCTGGGGTATTTTCCTCCCATAGCTAGACTAGGGCATCACTGAGCTCATGGGCAGTCTGAGGTGCAACCTGGCGGCGTCGGATGGACCGAAACATATCATCCCAGAGGTGTTCTATTGGCTTTAGGTCAGGCGAGCGTGGAACCATTCAGTGTAATCAATTCCTTCATCCTCCAGGAACTGCCTGCATACTCTTGCCACATGAGGTCAGGCATTGTTGTGCACCAGGAGGAACTCACAATAGGTCCAAGGATTTCATCCCGATATCTAGTGGCAGTCAGGGTGTCATTGTCTAGCTTGTAGAGTTCTGTGTGTCCTTCCATAGATATGCCTCCAAAGACCATCACTGACCCTCCACCAAAACGGTCATTCTGCATGATGTTACGTGTGCTCCATGTCTTCTCCAGACCCTTTCATGTCTGTCACATGCTCAAGGGGAACCTGCTCTCATCTGTGAAAAGCACAGGGCTCCAGTGGTGGACCTGCCAATTCTGGTGTTCAATGGCAAATGCAAATCGAGCTCTATGGTGCCGGGCAATGAGCACAGGGCCCATTAGAGGATGTCTGGCCCTCAGGCCACCCTCATGAAGTCTGTTTCTGATTGTTTGGTCAGAGACATTCACACCAGTAGCCTGCTGGAAGTAATTTTGTAGGGGTCTGGCAGTGCTTATCTTGTTCCTTTTTGCACAAAGAAGCAGATACCGGTCCTGCTGTTGGGTTAAAGTCCTTCTACGGCCTTGTCCAACTGTCCTAGAGTAACTACCTTTCACCTGGAATCTCTTCCATGCCCCTGAAACTGTGCTGGGAGACACAGCAAACCTTCTGGCAATGGCACATATTGGTGTGCCAACCTGGAGGAGTTGGACTGTCTGTGCAACCTCTGTAGAGTCCAGGTATCGCCTCATGCTACCAGTAGTGACACTGACTCTAGCCAAATGAAAAACTAGTGAAAAACAGTCAGAAAAGATGAGTAGGAAAAAAGATATCAGTGGCATCCACCTGTAAAACCATTCCTGTTTTGGGGGTCGTCTCATTGTTGCCCACCTAGTGCACCTGTTGCTAATTTTATTAATACCAAAGCAGCTGAAACTGATTAACAACCCTATATGTTACTTAACTGACCAGATCAATATCCCAGGAGTTTAATTGACTTGATGCTATACTCTGATTAAAAACGTGTTCCTTTAATTTTTTTGAGCAGTGTACATTTACGTTTTTGGCTGTAACATGACAAAATGTGGAAGGTGGGTATGAATACTTTTTCAAGGCACTGTATGTCATACATTGCTGTATTGATGATCTTTCTGAACAACAAGAGACAGTAATGGGTGTGGTGATACATTTCCTTCTATTTTGCTGTTCGTTTCAAGTGGTAGCAGTGAGAAAGAGAAGATTAAACTACCCGGTGACTGTTTATTTTTTCAGAGTTGAAAAAGTCACAACTGGGATTCTGCCGATGAAATCCACAGGTCCCTGATGGTTGATCATGTAAACGAAGTCAGCCAGTGGATGGTGGGAGTGAAACGTTTAATTGCTGAAGCAAGAAACTTACCTCATGAGGCGCTGTCTGCAAAAGATGAGGCTGTAACAGAGGGCACCGACAGTATCCAACAAGACACATAGGAGACCATATTAGTACATGGTCATATTGCTATGCATCCTGCCAACAGTATCAAATGACTTTTTCAGTTAATATAAACTTTGTTTTTGTGGCATTTTTCTGGTGAGGATTTTTTTCTGGACTAAGGGAATACTTTTGTTCAGTGGCATTGTTCACATATAGTGATGGCAGCCATTTGAGGACTGAGTCAATGTTACCGACTATTCAGGTTACCATTTAAACAGGACTCATGAATAATTGAAGCTTTCTATAGCTCATCTTCCACAATGGCTTCCTTCACAGTGTTCTTTAACATTGACTAGACTGCTGCTGCCCTATATAAATTTGCAAAGCATCTGTTGTCTGAGCCATGAATGGCTATGAAGAGGAAACTGATAGAACTTGCAGTTATGCATTTTTATGCAAGAATAATAATTCAGTGACTTTTAATCCTTTTTTTTTTTTTTTTTTTTTTTAATTGCTTAGCACCGAACCTTTCATTAAATGATTAATACACTGAAATAACTGACAAATTTATTGAATGAATAGACATTATAATCCTCTGGTATTTTTTTAATAAATTTTGTTATAATTTGAACCATATTAAACTAGTTTGTTTATATACTGTACATAAAGTTAAAAATATTTCCAGTTCATACAAATTGTTATGCTGGTCACAAGCAGAATTGCTTTCATAATATCCTATAGTTCGAATATTTCTTCATCAGATTTCTAAATTGTCTACAAATGGCATCATAATAGTTTCAGTCACACTTTCTCAAAACAAAGGTAAGAAAAGTCACAAGAAAATAAAAATGTACAAAAATAAATGAAAGCTTGTAGTACTCATTTATATTTAAGAAGTAAATATTTGCCTTTCAGTGGTGCTGCCCTCGTAGCTTGTTTAGGTGTAGAAGACCGGAAAAGGCAGTTTTACTTACTTGATGCTCGGCTCCTGCATGCTCCCCCTATGCTGCTAGACCAGTCCCCACAGCCTTTTATTTCCTATGCTTCGGCTGACACAGGTCCTCTGACATCATCAAGTACAATACAAAGCCTATAACAGTGCATTGGATATAGGCATGCTGAGAAACAGTCCACGACTGGAGCATAGGGAGGTAGAGGTGAGCACCAACTGAAAGGGAAGCAGAGGATCGGGTAAGTGAAACTGCTTTTCCCTGTACCAGGGAGACCTAAATGAGCATTTCTGTAAATCTTGCAGTGTAGGGGCAGCCTCACCGCAAAGGGGAATTTTTACTTTCCCCAGAGATGGGCTTTAGCCTCACCCCTAAAAACCCAAAGTAAACCCTCTAATCCCTGACCTTAACACTAGCCTAACCTTTAAAGTATATGTAACTCCTATAACAATCTTCTCTTATGTGGTCTGTTTAATATACCATTGAAAGTGTTTTTTCGGTAAGTGCAAAAAAAAAATACATGTTGATATTATCGGAAATCTAGTGCTGTCATGTATTCTCTGCAACATTATCTCAAGCACTATTATAAGTCATGCCCAGGTTTCCTCTGTGGACAACCGAATGCCTCTCCCTATCTATGAAGCTGCTGCTTCATAGATACAGTGAGGTGGGAGAGCGTTGTCACCCAAGGGCAGCTAGTGTGTTACTGGCAGGATAATCTGATGAAAGTGGGAGAAAATAACCTGAAGAAAAAGGAATGTAGTCACCACTAAAAAAGGACTTCTAAGCTGCAATATATTACATTTTTGTTCTTGGGTTTTTTATACACTTTAAAGTAAGCCTTAACTTTCTAAACTCTTGTTTTGGGCCACTAAGGTTAAATATCAGATGTACTATGACATTTATGAAAAAGAAAACACTCTTACATGGTTACTGAAACTAAAAAGTAACCAACAAAGTCAAGATTTTTTTATTGGTTTAATAATGACTCTGGACCCAGATAGATACAAGATACAAATCCTTGTTAAAAAATAAGTGGCTGATTCATAAAGCACAGTGATGTGTGTATAATAAATGTAAACAAAGCCCTCTTAACTTAAAAGTGGAGGGGTGGGAGGGTAAAAGTACCTGGAGGACAGTCCAGTGAAATCACCGGCAAATTTGTTCATGATCACTTGTTCTGTGATAACTTGTTTTGTAACCTCCTTGTAGCTGACCACAGTGTTGGCCACCTGTGGTAAGTTAAAGAAATTCTGTAAAGCCTTATTCACGCTTGAGATTAGGGTTGTCTTTAAATTCCTGTGGCTGAAATCCCTGGTGGTCGCAAACAGCTATGTCCCTGGATGTTAGTACAAGACAAAGACAGGCTGATTGGAACCATAGCTGTCCACCAATGTTCAGATGTAACGTATTCTCACATCACTTCTTTTCACACATGTTGTATGGTCAGTTTTGTGTGACATGAGCCACAGAAGTGCCTTTTTGTCTACATGCAGGAGTACCATGGAGTTAATGGTCACACCATGCAGTTGAGAACTTTCAAGAAGGTTCAGTCAGTAGAAACTTAGATATTAACCTACCCATTCTTCTGCTCAAAGCTAATAGGCTTCCATAGTTGACTGAGGTTTTGCTAAGGAATACATAGTAGAGCTGAAAATAGGGCAGATTTTGTTACATAGTTAGTCTGGCTGAAAAAAGACAAAAGTCCATCCAGTTCAACCGTTAAAAAACAAAAAAAAAAGTTACAATCCTATACCCACAGTTGATCCAGAGGAAGGCAAAAAAACCCCAGCAAAGCATGATCCAATTTGCAAAATCCTTCCTGATCCCCCAAGAGGCAATCGAATATTCCCTAGATCAACTTTACCTATAAATGTTAGTATCCAGTTATATTCTGTGTATCTAAGAAAGAATCCAGGCCTTTTTTTTAAAGCAATCCACTAAGCTGGCCAGAACCAACTCTTGAGGGACTTCTCACTTTGAAGAAACCTTTCCGTGTTTGGAGATTACATTTCTTTTCCTCCAGATGTAAAGAGTGCCCCTTGTCCTCTGTGATGACCTCAGGGTGAATAGCTCTATACCGAGTTCACTTTATGAACCACTGATGTATTTATACATGTTGATCATATCCCCCTTTAATCTCCTCTTCTCAAGAGAGAATAAATTCAGTTCCTCTAATCTTTCCTCATAGCTGAGCTCCTCCATGCCTCTTATCAATTTGGTTGCCCTCCTCTGTACTTTCTTCAGTTCCCCAATGTTCATTTTGTGAATTGGTGCCCAAAACTGAACTGCATATTCCAGATAAGGTTTTACTAATGATTTGTACAGGAGTAAAATGATATATATCTCTGGAGTCTATACATCTTTTAATACAAGAAAGGATTTTGCTCGCTTTAGAAACCGCAGCTTGGCATTGCATGCCATTATTAAGCTTATGATCTACCAGAACTCCCAGATCCTTCTCCACCTTTGATTCCCCCAGTTGTACTCCTTCTAGTATTTATGATGCATGCATATTTGTAGCCTCCAAGTGCAAAATCTTACATTTATCAACATTAAACCTCGTTTGCCACATAGTTGCCCAATTAAACAGTGCATTGAGGTCAGCTTGTAAATTGAAGACATCCTGTAAGGACATTATTCCACTGCACAGCTTGGTGTCACCTGCAAAGACTGAAATGGGATTTTTAATCTCAGACCCTTTATCGTTTATAAATGTATTAAAAAGTAAGGGTCCCAACACTGAACCCTGGGGTACACCACTGATGACCCTAGACCATTCAGAGTATGAATCATTAACCACTACTACTCTTAAATACGATCTTTTAGCCAGTTTTCTATCCATTTACATTAGGATTTTTCCAAGCCTCTAGACTTTACCTTACACATTAGCCATGTGTGGGGAACTGTGTCAAACGCTTTAGCAAAATCCAAGTATACCACGTCCACCGCCACCCCTCTGTCCGAGGTTTTGCTCACCTCATAAAAAGAAATCAGATTTGTTTGATAACTTCTGTCTTTCATGAATCCATGCTGTCTGTTGCTTAAAATATTTTTTTCCAGCAAGAACTCATCTATTGGGTCTTTTATTAAACTCTCCAGTATCTTCCCAACTGTAGAAGTTAAACTAACAGGTCTATAATTTTAATCTATAATGGGTAGTGGTATTGACACAGCTCCAGATGATCCACATTGGCTCACAATTGATATGATCCAAAAATATTTAGACAGAATAAAGGTGAATAAAGCACCTGGACCGGATGGCATACACCCACAGGTCCTTAAAGAATTGAGATCTGTCATTTCAAAGCCATTGTTTCTAATTTTTAGGGACTCTTTAATGACTGGCATAGTACCACTGGATTGGCGTAAGGCCAATGTGGTGCCAATATGTAAAAAGAGGTAAAAATCTTTGCCAAGTAATATATAACAATTCCAATGATTATACCTTTGTAGTACGCACTCCCATATGCAGTTCCACCCATAACACTTCAGCCTCATCACACTCTCCATCAACTTTTGTGTTTTTTTTGTTTTTGTTTTGTGAGGTAGATAAATCGCAAGAAGTGTGCTTTTCACAAAAGTGCAATTGTCAGTTTGGCAGCTCACCTTGGTTTTCTAAGATATTGTTAGTGTGTGCCTAAACCCAAGAACAAATAATATATTGTAGCTACAAATCAATACATGTGGCATCTGCTTTATTTTTAGTTTTTACCTTTTATTGTTTACCTGATAATCCTGTCACTACCACTTTGGTGGAGATTTACTAAAACTGGTGCACAGAATGTGGTGCCGCTGCGCATAGTAACTAATCCGCTTCTAACTTCATCAGTCAGGTTATTCAATTAAACTTTGACAATAAGACCTAGAAGGTGATTGGATAATATGCACAGCTGCACCACTTTTAGTAAATCTCCGCCTTTGAGTCCTAGGGTGACAGCATACTGTACCTATTGAGGAGCAGTGTTGTCACCTTAGCACAGAACTACAAAACACCTCCCCCTTTCCTCTTCATAACATGGCAGGTGGGGTGATCTGTAGTTCATAGAGAGCTGGGAACAATACCAATTAAAATACAGCACAGGCAGAAATCATAGAAAGTTATCAGCTTAATAAGTTAATTGCTAGGGTTTACATACATTTTAAATATGCACAAGCATACAAAAAGAAGTTGACAATATGATAGTAAGATTCACATTTACCATTTATTTTAAAGGCATTCTAAATTACTTATTGTTAACTTGTAAATAAAAAAATTTACTTTTGTTGTCCCTTATAGATAAAGATGCCCTCTCACATAGTACTAACTGTTGTTTAACTTGAGCATACTGGACGCTGAAAAACAGCTTATCTGCTACATGTTTCTACTAACAAAATTTTACAGCTCCTGGTTTCTTTACAGAAAATCAAATAAGCATTTGCAATGGCAAGAATGCCTATTCTGTGCTGTTCAACTCACACCTGTTGTTTCCTTGATCATGTTCTTATTAACTTTTATCTCATCAACATATTCTTGCTCTGGATAGATGAGGAAACCAGTAAACAAACTGTCTGTCCAGTATGGATCATAAAAAAGTCCATTCTGTTCAGAGTAAAAAATCTGTAGCCACACTTCATCTCTAGCTTTCAAAGGAAGAATGGTAGACCCTGATGCTATGTCATGGTTCCCAGTGTTGGCATCAAAAGTCTTGATTTTGTATTGACCATTGTGAACTAGTCCTATAGCCAAATGCTTGTTTGCTAGGGTGATGTCGTATGTGAAGAAATAAATACCAGGTATGCTACATATATATTTCCCACTTGTGGCATTGTAGTGTCCTCCTTCATTCATAAGAACTTTATCAAACTTAATAGGTAGCCGTTCTCTGGGGTAGCTTTTTGTGACGGCAACAGAAAATGCTGACTTTGCTTTTTTTGAGCCGCAAGTACACGGTCCAGGCATCCCTGTATCTCCTTTCTTTCCTTTTGGTCCCTTATTTCCTGTTTCACCTGGTGTCCCAAGATCACCTCGAAAACCTTTTGGACCTCTTAGGCCAGCTCGTCCAATGGATCCCTGCTTACCCTTACCACCTTGTTTTCCTGGATTTCCAACTCTGCCAGGAGTACCTGCAGAACATAGATGATTACTGTTTTATTTTATAGTATTACAATTGCTTACAGTTTATTACAAAGTGTTGGGTATACAACTGCAGAGAGAAAACTTAGAACTGAAGTCCCAAGCAAACAGTTAATTATAAAATTGGAATACATGTATGGGAACTGTTATACAGTAGGGAAAATAATTATTTGATCCCCTGTGGATTTTGTAAGTTTGCCCACTTACAAAGAAATTAAGGGTCTATACTTTTTATCATAAGTATATTTTAAATGATAGAGACAGGATATCAACCAAAAATTCAGAAAAAAAACACATTATACAAATGTTATAAATTGAGTTGCAATTCAGTGAGTAAAATAAGTATTTAGTCCCCAAGCAAAACATGACTTCGTACTTGGTGGAGAAACCCTCGCTGGCAAGCACAGAGTAAGACGTTTATTGCAGTTGGTTACCAGGTTTGCACACATCTCAGGAGGAATTTTGGCTCACTCTTCTTTACAGATCTTCCGTAAATCCTTAAGGTTTCTTGGCTGTTGCTTGGCAACTCGAAGTTTCAGCTCCCTCCATAAATTTTCTACAGGATTAAGGTCTGGAGACTGGCTAGGCCACTCCATCACCTTAATGTGCTTCTGCTTGGGCAACTCCTTTGTTTCCTTGGTGGTATGTTTTGGGTCATTGTCATGCTGGAGGACCCATCCATGACCATTTTCAGTGTTCTGGCTGAGGGAAGAAGCTTCTTATCCAAGATTTTACAATATATGGCCATTGGCCCCTCAATTCGGCAAAGTCTGCCTGTACTTTTAGCAGAGAAACGGCCCTAAAGCATAATGTTTTTTTACTTCTGTGCTTGACCGTAGGGATGGTGTTCTTCGGGTCATAGTCAGCATTTTTCTTCCTCCAAACACGTGAGCTCAATTTTGGTCTCATCTAACCACAGCACTTTCTCCCAATCCTGCTCTGAATCATTTAGATATTCGTTGGGAAACTTCAGATGGGCCTTTGCATGTGCCTTTTTGAGGAGGGGGACCTTGCAGACACTGCAAGATTTCAGTCCATGGTGGCGTATTGTGTTACCAATGGTTTGTTTGGTGACTGTGGTCCCAGCCTCCTTGAGATCATTTACAAACTTCTCCCGTGCAGTTCTAGGCTGATCCCTCACTTTTCTCATGATCATCCTTACCCCATGAGACGAAATCCGATCTGGAGCTCCAAACCGAGGGTGATTGGTTATTTTGTATTTCTTCCATTTGTGAATAATCGCTCCAATGGTTATGTCCTTCTCACCAAGCTTCTTGCTGATGGTCTTGTAGCCCATTCCAGCCTTGTGCAGGTCTACAATCTTGTCCCTGACGTCCTTTTGACAGCTCTTTGGTCTTGCCCATGGCAAAGTGAGGTTTGAATAGAAGAAAGAGATTCTGTGGTAAGGTGTCTTTTATACACATGAGTTGTCGTTAGGAGCACCTTCTTAAATTGACAGGACTAGTCTGTGTACCACATGAACATATAGCCTGTCTGTGGGAGCCAGAATTATTGTTGGTTGGTAGGAGATCAAATACTTATTTTACTTACTGAACTGCAACTCAATTTATAATATTTGTACCATGTATTTTTTTCTGGATTTTTGGTTGATATTCTGTCTCTATCATTTAAGATACACCTATGATAAAAATTATAGACCATTTCTTTGTAAGTGGGCTAACATACAAAATCTACAGGGGATCAAATAACTACTTTCCCCACTGTTTTTGTAAGCCTGTGAAGACATAGTGAAACAATAGTTGTGCTATCCAAAGATGGACCAGCAGCTCACTGATGGGCAATATTGTGCAATGCAGTATAGCCTGACTCATTCAGAAGGCCACCCTTCCTTTTTACAGTCTGGTACCTGATGCACAAAAGGTTAATATGACACTCGCCATCAAAACAGTTTCATGTCCTCTCTAAGATACAGATCTAAGTAAAAAAGGACAGTATTTATGACTCAATAACTAGATTAAATGGTTGCTTTTGCAGGGCTTTTTTCTCAGAGCATAGGTGCAGGCACTCCCACTTTTGAGTCACTCCTCGACTTTGCCCCCTACCCACCTCTGAGCCCTACCCATTGGTCCCACCCCCTACCCACATACCAATACCGCCCCTTTTAGAGAACTCAGAACCAGGTATCATTTTTGGTGCTAAGTGATTTGAATGAAATTTGTTAATAACAAAAAAAGCAGTAAAATAGATCCTCTTCAGCCAGCAACAATAACCCTCCCAGCAACAAAAGACCCCCTGCAACAAAATACCACCCCAGCAACAATAGATTACCTCCTCAACAGTAGACCCCTCACAGCAACAATTTACCCCACCCCTAGCAATATAAGATCTCCCCCCCCCAGAAACAACAAATCCCCAGAAACAACAAATCCCCAGCACTTTTGATATATACTTATTTCAACTGGAAGACATTCAAAGCCTCACATGCAGGAGTACCCTTTCATTTACTAATTTGTAATAATGCCTCCACTGGCACATACAGCTTCCAAATGTTTCCAAGCTTCCCTGGTTCCTTTAAAGGGTACGTTTTTCTTTTAAAAAACTTTTTAAGGGTGGATCATGTAATATGTTCCAGCATCTGCAGTCTCTCTCCTCCTCCCTGTGGTAGCAGATGGGGAACCTTCTACCTATGCCAGCTGTCACTATTTGAAAAAAGTGTGACTGCGTGGGACTCTGCCCACATGGCCACATCATTCATTCCCAGTTTCCTGTAAATTAATGCCTACAAGTAGGCGTTGTCATAGTCCATTGATCTTACTGCTCCCAGGCAACTGCCTGCCCATACAAGGTATGGGCAGACAGCTATGCTGAGAATCTGCGGAGATTTGCTCAGTAGGTTTCTTAGAAAAAAAAACCTGCAAAAAAATGTGCATTTGGTTTTTTTTTTTTTTTAAATCATTTAAGATTTTCCTACTCAAATTTCCATGAAGAATATTTCTATTTCAGAAATATTATAGGAAATACACTACATTGCCAAACGTATTGGGACGTCTACCTTTACATGCACATGAACTTTAATGGCATCCCAGTCTTAAACCGTAGGGTTCAAAATTGAGTTGGCCCACTCTTTGCAGCTATAACAGCTTCAACTCTTCTGGGAAGGCTGTCCACAAGGTTTAGGAGTGTGTCTATGGGAATGCCTGACCATTCTTACAGAAGCGCATTTGTGATGTCAGATGAGAAGGCCTGGCTCGCAGTCTCTACTCTAATTAATCCCAAAGGTGTTCTATTGGGTTGAGGTCAGGACTCTGTGCAGGCCAGTCAAGTTCCTCCACCCAAAACTCACTCATCCATGTCTTTATTGACCCTGTTTTGTGCACTGGTGCACAGTCATGTTGGAATAGGAAGGGGCCATCCCCAATCTGTTCACACAAAGTTGGGAGCATGAAATTGTCCAAAATGTCTTGGTTTGCTGATGTTTTAGGAGTTCCCTTCACTGGAACTAACAGGCCAAGCCCAACCCCGGTAAAACAACCCCACACCATAATGCTCCCTCTACAAAACTTTACCCTTGGCACAATGCAGTCAGGCAGGTAATGTTCTCCTGGAAAATGCCAAACCCAGATACGTCAATTGGATTGCCAGAGAAGCAAGATTCATCAATCCAGAGTGCTCTAGAGTCCAGTGGTGGCGTGCTTTACACCACTGCATCTGACACTTTGCATTGCACTTGGTGATGTAAGGATTGGATGCAGCTGCTCAGCCTTGGAAACCCATTCCATGCAGCTCTCTACTCACTGTTGTGTTAATCTGGAGACCACACGAAGTTTGGTGGTCTTTAGCTATTGACTCTACAGACAGTGACATTTGCGCACTGTGCACTTCAGCATGCTCTGACCCTGCTGTGTCATTTTACGTGGCCTACCACTTCATGGCTGAGTTGCTGTTGTTCCCAGTAGTTGCTTCCACTTTGTTATGATACCACTAACAGTTGACCGTGGAATATTTAGTAGCAAGGAAATTTCACGGATGGACTTATTGCACAGGTGGCAATGCTCATGGAATCACGGTACCACGTTTGAATTCACTGAGCTCCTGAGAGCGACCTATTCTTTCACAAATGTTTGTAGAAGCAGTCTGCATGCATGATTTTATACACCTGTGGCCATCGAGGTGATTGGAACCCCTGAATTCAATGATTTGGCGGGGTCCCAATACTTTTGGCAATATTGTGTATATTATGAGGATCAATCTTAGGGCTATGAATATTTATCTAACCCCAGCCAATCCCTGAAAGGGGGCATTCAGAAAGTATGGCTGGGGAGAAGATGAAAATTTGGGAGGATTTATTCAGTGTCACTCTCTCTCCTGGGTCATCTGCCCCTGATGAGGGCCTTGGAGGAACTTTAACTTAAAGAAATTTGCTGAAAGACACTGCCTGTAAAATCTCTGCTGGAATAGGGAACTCTTTCACTTAGGAGTGTTGCTGGGAAGCTGGTTGTGGAACTGCCTCTGGACATTGCGAGTATGGCTTTTTGCCTAGAGATCCAGGTATGCTTATGCTTGGGTTGAGGGTTGTGTGAGGGTTAGATGCCAGAGATTGCTACATGGTCTGTGACTGCTCTTACAGAGTCTCATGCTAACTGCCTGTCCCCTCTACCACCAGCATTACTTAAGGCTGAGAAGCACCCTCATTCCTCTACCTACTTGTGTTCAAGTATTGAAATAAATCTTCAAAATTATTCCCCCTAGACTTAGCTTGCGTTATGTGGTGTGCTCTTGAACTGGAATCTGGTCCTGTCAGCCTCTGAACAGGTAAGGGGGGCCTGTGTATTTCCAGTGGAGCACCTCTTTTGTGCTTTGGTGGAATGTATTCCATATCCTACTCTAGGTGCCTATTATGCCTTTTAGGGTGGAATTATTCTATAAGTATGTATAGTTAAGAAGAAATAAAACAGATATTTTAGTAGCATACCATCATCTCCTTTTTCTCCTTTATCTCCATCCTTTCCATCTTTGCCATCTTTCCCTGGAAAGCCCATTCTTCCAATAGTGCCTGTGGATCCAGGATGACCTGGAACTCCAGGTGGTCCGGGAGGTCCTGGCATGCTGCAGAGAAGCTCAGAGTTGTCTTTGGAATAAGGTAACTCTCCTTTAGCAGAACTGGTGAGCTGGTTATTGGCTACACATGGAAAAACCCAAATCAGAACCATGAGTGAAATCATCTCTCAACCTATGATGTAATGAGAGAAAAGGAGAATACAGGTTAAAACCTGGAAATTTATATATCCAAGGGAAGACTGCAGGAAGATAATTTCTAGGGGTAATTAGCATGGCTCAACAAATAAGCATTCCATTGACCATATGGGAATGTTTAGAGGCAAGCCAGTGGTATTAGTGACTGGTTGATTTTTTTGGTTGGTCTACCAAAATGTTGTCTGGGGGGGAGCTGCCACGTGTATGTCATCAATCAAGAGCGCTGCTCTATTGGGAATATGCTGGTAAGTCTGGATGGGATATTGCCAATAACAGATAAAATCTTACTGATAAACAAGCCACCCTTTGAAGGAAAATGGTTGTGATAAGCACAAGCCACTATTCAGCTATTAGAACACATGTCCCTTGCTCTAGCTTCATTTAGCTGTGGTAAATAAAATTTACATTGCAACATGTGTTTGATGGTACCACTTTCTGACTACAATATTTCTTGCTTGAATGATTACAAATTGACTTTTTATTTTCTTTTGTAAAGAAAGCGCGTCCTAATGTGTATTTTTTAAGTTGGTTATTAAACTTGTTTTGAAAAAAAAAGATCAAAACACATGGCATGGTTTAATCTCCTGATAACTAGTATACATTTTTCATGAAAAAAGCTAACATGACAAATTAAAAGGAACTCCAAATCTGCAATTTATAGAAAGATATAATTATCTTTACATTAACACAATAAAGCAAACCAAAGGAAAATATAATGAATATCATTAAAGCATTGTCTTGTTTTTTTTTACCTAGGCAAGCAATAGATGATACGATTTTCTTTCCTGCCCATCAACATAGTCAGTGTTGATGGAAGACTACTTCCTGCCAGCAGGGAGCCTTCCCAGCATGCATTAATCATTAATGCTGGTGGCTATAGCCGCTGGCAGTAATCACATTGAATAAAAACAGCAGGCTGGTTGTACCCAAGTCGGTCAATGGATCCACTTGGGCACAACCAGTCTGTGTCAGGGAAGGCGTGGCCATAGTGCAAATGAAAGTTCTGGCACATACATATGCACATGCATAGACCAGCAACTGGCCTGGTAGATGTTCATGGATGTGGGCATAGGCATGCACACTTGTGCATCCAGGCGCATGCCTGTAACCAATGCTGGTGCCAAACAGGGTATTTAAACAGGCTACAGTATTGATTCATTGCTGTTTGGTCTACAACCTCTGTGTGCTCGATCTTGATACCTGTGTTTGACCTCTGATCCTGACCCGGCTTGTTCCTGACCTCTGTTTGTCTGCTACCTGCCCCAAACTTGACTTATCTCTGGATTCTGCTTCCACCTCCTGTTCTTGCCTGATCTACCTTACGTTGCTGACTTGGCTTGTGGCCCGACTATCCTGCTGTCTGCAGTCTATGCCTGATCTGCCTGACTGTTACTGAATGAGCTCGTTTGACCCTGCATCCTGCTCATCCAGCCTGCTACAGCTCTTCAGTCCAGCAAGCTCACATCTGGTTCCTGCTTCTTGTTGCATGCCTACAGTCTGCCGCCAGCCAAGCTCATTATCGTTAAAGCAAAACTATATTCACTTCCACTTCAGTGCTGGAGTGTCCCAGAGCTCCCTCATGGTCACTGACATCTGTGGCCAGTCTTCCAGGTACTCATCTTTGGCCATTTTTCATTGGCAGGCTCAAGATGACATCACTCCCACGCAGGAGTTCATTCATCTCAGCTGATGTTGAAATTGTGTTACTAATTGTTTTCTGGGTGACTGTGGTCCCAGCTGCCTGAAGATCATTGACAAGATCCTCACGTGTAGTTCTGGGATGATTCCTCACTGTTCCCATGAACATTGACACGCCACAAGGTGAGATCTTGCATGGTGCACTAGACCTAGGGAGACTGACAGTTGTTTTGTGTTTCTTCCATTTGCAAATGATTGCACCAACTTGTCACCTTGTCACCAAGCTGCTTGGCAATAGTTTGGTAGTCCAGTCCAGCCTTGTGTAGGTCTACAATCATTTCCCTGACATCCTTGGACAGCTCTTTGGTCTTTGCCATGGAGGAGAGTTTGGAATCTATTTGATTGCTCCTGTGGACAGGTGTCTTTTATACAGGTAACAAAATAAGATTAGCAGCACTCCCTTTAAGAGACTGCTGCTAATCTCAGCTTGTTACCTGTATGAAAGACACCTGGTAGCCAAAAATTCTGCTGAATGATAGTGTCAGGAATGGACTTGCCAGTAATGGTGGGACTCACCTGCCTTGTGGGCTGCAGTACCAGGGCTGGCCAGCGGGTGCTCCCAGCAATCAGAGACTCAACCCTGCAGCCAGCCAAACACCTGAAGTTGATTATGCAGGTGTATTTAAGGGATGGCCAGACCTGCAGTCTCTGCCTTGGTGTGTGTTTTTCCTGGGCCCTGTATTTTGTTCCTGCATTCCTGTCCCTGTCCCTGATTCGTTGCTGACCCTGCCTGATCCGGACCTCTGCTGACTTCTCCTGTTTTATCCCTGGCTTGTACCCCGACCATTCTCTGCCTGACCCCCTGTACCTACCTGCCCGATTGTTATTGACCCGGCCTGCCTGACGACGCTTGCATTGTATGTACTGTTATCTGTGGGTGGTTTGGTTTGGTTCGTTTGCACTGTGTTATGTTTTAGTATTGCACTGCGTTTATGTTTGTATTGTTAGTCTTTAATAAATGATATTGTTTATAACTTATCTGAAGCCTGCGTTTCCCTGCGTCAGTTCACATACCTCTGGTCATACCCTGGAGCCCTGATATTACACCAAGGCCATCCTGACCAGAAGTGGCTGCACAGGGAAGCCATCTTGGCTTGTTGCTGGGAAGGATGGATCTTGATGAGGTTGTGTATTTATCTCTGCTAGTGTTTGATGACAGAGAGTATGCTTATCAGACTCTGAGGGAGTATACCAGGGAAGAACTGCTAGAATGTATACGGATCGCTCATTGCCTAGTAGATCAGGGCACAGAGTTCTCTGAGGTGCAGCCATTGATTCAGGTTTGTGCTGAGTTGGTTTCATCTGGTATCCCCGAATGCAGGGATGAATTTTTGCCCCCATTTAGTGCTGACCAGGTAGAGTCCCTGGTATGGTTATTAGAGGATGATGTGGATTACTTTCTGGAGCGTTATTCTGCATGTTCACAACAGGTACTAAGAGATTGTATAAACGCAGTGCAGTCTTTGGTCAGACAGGCTTTGTGTAAGCTGAGCTTTGTTCAACCCATACTGCAGACATGGTCAGACTTGTTGCACCCAGCCTCAGTCAGCTTGCAAAAACCCAGTCCTGCTTCTAATCTATTTCTTCAAAGCTCTATTCTTGCATTCCCAACAGCACCTCCAGTTACAGCCCAGTATACCCTGCTATCTACCGCATGTCAGTACCCTGTTCCCACTCGCTGCACCTATCCTGCCTTTAACCCTGTAAAGCCCTCTGTAGCAACTGTTCCCTCCCCTGTTCCATCCTCCAGCTCTTCTCTGTCTCCAGCTGCTCCATCCGTTTACAAACCTGCGCTTACTTACGGTGCTCCGGTAACTAAAACCAGCAAAAGGAGAAAGTTGTTTCCAACCAATACCATCCTGCCAGTATCCAAACCGGTCAGCCTCCCAACTGAGAACCTGCCTTCCGTGGTGCAGCCTGGTGCCTCGGCGCCCACAATTCATCAGCCTGATGCCTCCACCCAGCCTGATGCCTCCATTCAGCCTGATGCCTCCATTCAGCCTGATGCCTCTACCCAGCATGATGTTTCTACCCAGCCTGATGAACTGATCCAGCCTGATGATTCCATTAGGCTAGTTGACTCGATGCCCGCTGTCGATCCAGACGATCCGGTGCCTGATGACCCAGTGCCCGCTGTCATGCCTGGTGACCCGATGCCCGCTGTCGGGCCAGACGATCCAATGTCTGACCCAGTGCCCCGCGTCATGCCAGTTGACTTGGAGCCCACTGTCGTGCCTGGTGACTCGGTGCCCACTGCCTTGCCAGATGACACGGTGCCCGCTGGCGAGCCAAATGACCTGATGCCTGGTGACCCAGTGCCCGCTGTCATGCCAGGTGACCCGATGCCCGCTGTCGAGCAAGACGATCCAACGCCAGATGACCCGGTGCCCGCTGTCGATCCAGACGATCCGGTACCTGATGGCCCGGTGCCCGCTGTCGTGCCAATTGACTCAGAGCCCACTGTCGTGCCTGGTGACGCGGTGCCCGCTGTCGAGCCAAATGACCTGATGCCTGGTGACCCGATGCCCGCTGTCGAGCCAGACGATCCAATGTCTGACCCAGTGCCCGTGGTCATGCCAGTTGACTCGGAACCCACTGTCGTGCCTGGTGACTCGGTGCCCACTGCCTTGCCAGATGACGCTGATGACCCACTGGTGAGCGCCCTGATGCCTGGTGACCCGATGCCCGTTGCGTGCTGATGACCCGCCCGCCGCTCCGCCTGGGGGCCCGGCGCCTGCCGCCCCACCTGGGGGCCCGATGCCTGCCACCCCTCCTGGGGGCCCGATGCCTGTCGCCCCGCCTGGGGGCCCGATGCCTGTCGCCCCGCCTGGGGGCCCGGCACCCGCCCCCCGCCCTGGGGGCCCGATGCCTGTCGCTCCTCCTGGGGGCCCGGTGCCTGCCGCCCCTCCTGGGGCCCAGTGCCTGCCGCCCCTCCTGGAGGCCCGGTGCCTGCCGCTCCACCTGGTGGCCCCGTGCCTGCTGCTCCGCCTGGTGGCCCCGTGCCTGCCGCTCCGCCTGGTGATCCGGTGTCCAGCTCGATGTGCCTCTGCCCGGAGTCCTGCCCGATGTGCCGCTGCCCGGAGTCCTGCCCGATGTGCTGCTGCCCGGAGTCCTGCCCGATGTGCCGCTGCCCGGAGTCCTGCCCGATGTGCCGCTGCCCGGAGTCCTGCCCGATGTGCCTCTGCCCGGAGTCCTGCCCGATGTGCCTCTGCCCGGAGTCCTGCCCGATGTGCCTATGCCCGGAGTGCAGCCCGATGTGCCTCTGCCCGGAGTCCTGCCCGGTGTGCCGCTGCCCGGAGTCCTGCCCGGTGTGCCGCTGCCCGGAGTCCTGCCCGGTGTGCCAGTCTTTGATATCCTGCCAGTTACCAGACCCGGTCGGTGGAACATTTTGCCCAGCTAGAACTGTTTGGAGCGTCCTGAGGCCGCTCCTTGAGGGGGGGGGTACTGTCAGGAATGGACTTGCCAGTAATGGTGGGACTCACCTGCCTTGTGGGCTGCAGTACCAGGGCTGGCCAGCGGGTGCTCCCAGCAATCAGAGACTCAACCCTGCAGCCAGCCAAACACCTGAAGTTGATTATGCAGGTGTATTTAAGGGATGGCCAGACCTGCAGTCTCTGCCTTGGTGTGTGTTTTTCCTGGGCCCTGTATCTTGTTCCTGCATTCCTGTTCCTGTCCCTGTCCCTGTCTCTGTCTGATTCCTTGCTGACCCTGCCTGATCCGGACCTCTGCTGACTTCTCCTGTTTTATCCCTGGCTTGTACCCCGACCATTCTCTGCCTGACCCCCTGTACCTACCTGCCCGATTGTTATTGACCCGGCCTGCCTGACGACGCTTGCATCGTATGTATGTACTGTTATCTGTGGGTGGTTTGGTTTGGTTCGTTTGCACTGTGTTATGTTTTAGTATTGCACTGTACTTATGTTTGTATTGTTAGTCTTTAATAAATTATATTGTTTATAACTTATCTGAAGCCTGCGTTTCCCTGCGTCAGTTCACATACCTCTGGTCATACCCTGGAGCCCTGACAGATAGGGGATCAAATACTTATTTCCCTCATGAACATGCAAATCTGTTCATAATTTGTTAGACATGCATTTCTTTTGAATTTTTCTGTTGCTATTCTGTCTCTCAGTGTTAAAATACACCTACCATTCTATTTTTAGATTGATAATTTCTTTGAGAGTGGGCAAACATTCAAAATCAGCAGGGGATCAAATACTTATTTCCTTCACTGTAATCTTAGTTTCATCTGTCCAAAGAATGCTTTTCTAGAACTGGTCTGGCTTTTTTAGATGTTTTTTGGCAAAGTCTAATCTGGCTTTTCTATTCTTCAGGCCTATGAATGGTTTGCACCTTGTGGTGAACCCTCTGTATTTGCTATCATGAAGTCTTCTCTTGATTGTAGACTTTGACAATGATACGCCCACTACCTGGAGAGTGTCCTTCACTTGTCTGTATGTTGTGAATGGGTTGTTCTTTACCATAGAGAGGATACTGCGATTATCCACCACTGTTGTCTTCCATGGACGTCCATGCCTTTTTATGTTGCTGAGCTCACCAGTGTGTTCTTCTTTCCTCAGAATGTACCAAACTGTTGATTTGGCCACTCCTAATGTTGCTGCTAACTCTCTGATGGATTTTTTTTGTTTGTTTTTGAAGCCTTACAACAGCCTGTTTCACTTGCATGGACAACTCCTTTGAACACATGATGTAGGTTCACATCTATAGATTCCAAATACAAATACCACACTTAGAATCAACTCCAAACCTTTTACTTGCTTAATTGATGAAGAAGTAACGGAGTGGCCCACACCTGACCATGAAACAGCTTTTGATTCCATTGTCCAATTACTTTTGGTCCTTTGAAAAAAGGAGGCATGGCTACTCTTAAGAGCTGTAATTCCTAAACCCTTCCTCCAATTTGGATGTACATACCCTCAAATTAAACCCTAGTGTGTACTTTCAGCCTATATCCATTATATAACTATAGCTTGAATATGTTTTGGTAAATACCTGAAAAAGTCTAAAATTGTGCCTGTGTCCAAATATATATGGGCTAACTGTATCAAATGAGCTAAGGTACCTGATGACATAAACAGCTATACACCACCCAGTTTGAATTTTTGATGTTATGAATGATGAAATTATGTGCTAAAGTCCCAACAGATCCTTGGTAGGACCAGCAGTTCTACAGCATCTGGTGATAAAAGGTTGCATTTTGCCTAGTGGCGAAAATAGGAATACTTACAATCTCTGGTGTGTCTGCTATTACAAGCAGCTGCCTTCTGTGCAGAAAGAATGGCACATACTATTGTATGTAGGGGAAGGAGCAGGGCAGTCAAATAATGGTTGTTGGGAAGGAAACTGATATGGAAGATAAAATCAGCTGATGGCTGCACAAAATGTATGAGGGAAATGTGTTTAAGGACCCATACACACCACAACACAGCGTGCTTCAACACACATTTTTCTTGCATTAATACATTAGGCAGCCACTTTTTTTAAAAGTCTCTGCATGTCCCTCAATGCACAAAAAACATATTTTCTTGTATCTGCATTTGTTGGAATATGAGTCCCGGGTATATATTACACACCCATTATTACTCTTCTTCCATGTGAATAAATTCTACTTAAAAAAGCAATTCCAGTTGTATGGACCCCATCATATATAAAAAAAAATCTCTTCTTTTATAAAAAAAAAATAGGTTAAAATAGGTGGTTATGAAATAGCTAAATAAAATATAAGAGACTTGGAACGCACTGATATTTAATCTTACATTACAACCCCTGGCAAAAGTTATGGAATCACCACTCTTGGAAAATGTTCATTCAATTGTTTAATTGTGTAGAAAAAAAATAATCACAGACATGGCTCAAAACTATTTTCATTTAACATTCCAAACTTCTGGCTTTAAGAAACACTTAAAAAATAAAAAAGAAAGAAAACTGTAGTCAGTTGCAACTGTTTTTGCAGATCAAGGAGAGGAAAAAAATATGGAATCACTCAATTCTGAGGAAAATATTATGGAATCTCCATGTACTTTGCAGTTCTTAAACAAAACATCTGCATCAGATTACATCTGCTAAATAGTCTGCAGTTAAAAAAGAGTGCTTGCACACTTTGGTGAGCTGTTGCTCCAAGCTGATTGACATGAATTATGGCTCCAACAGGAGAGATGTCAGTTGAAACAGAGGAGAGGATTATAAAACTTCTTCAAGAATGTAAATCATCACAGAATGTTGCAAAAGATGTTGGTTGTTCCCAGTCAGCTGTGTGTAAAATCTGGACCAAGTACAAATAAAATGGGAAGCTTGTAAAAGGGAAACATACTGATAGACCAAGGAAGACATCAAAGTGTCAAGATAGAAAACTTAAAGCAATATGCCTTGAAAACAGAAAATGCACAACAAACCAAATGGGCAGAAACTGGAGTCAATGTCTGTGACCGAACTGTAAGACTTCGCCTAAAGGAAATGGGATTTCCATAGAGAAATGTCAAACAAAAACCATCGTTAACACCTCAACAGAAAAAAACAAGGTTACAGTGGGCTAAAGAAAAGCAATCATGGACTGCGGAAGACTGGATGAAAGAGATATTCAGTGATGAATCACGAATCTGCATTGGGCAGGGAACTTTTGTTTGGTGCCGCTCCAATAAAATGTATAAAGACAACGGCCTGAAGAAAACATGCAAATTTCCACAATCATTGATGATATGGGGTTCCATGTCAGGGAAAGGTACGGGGGAGATAACAGTCATTAAATCTTCAATAAATGGATAAGTTTATACTGAGCATTTGGACACATTTCTTATTCCATCAATTGAAAGGATGTTTAGTGATGATGACATAATTTTTCAGGATGATAATGCATCTCGCCATAGGGCAAAGGCCATGAAAACTTTCCTTCAAGAAAGAAATATAGGCCCTGATATACTAAAGTGCCCAGTTGGCGACTAGGCACACGCCCGTGGCAGAAAGTCTACTTTTCAATGGAAGTCATCTACTTTTGGACGGAGAAGACATTTACTAGAGAAATCCGTCTAGCCAAAGACGCTTTTCCAAAGGTCTTAATTGATTTAATTGGGTGCGGTTGAATGTTCAGCGTCTGCTGCTGCACACCTTATTCTAGGTAAATCAAGGCCGTAATGTCAATGGCATGGCCTGCAAATAGTCCAGACCACAATCCAATTGAAAATCTATGGTGGAAATGAAAAAAAATGGTTCGTAACAAGGCTCCAACCTGCAAAGCTGATCTGGCAGCTGCAGTAAGAGAAAGTTGGAGCCGGATTGATGAAGAATACTGTTTGTCGATAGTTAAATTCATGACTCAGAGAAAGCTGTTATAAAAGCCAGAGGTGGTTCAACAAAGTACTAGTGGTGTACTCTAGTGTTTTTTTTTTTCATGATCACATAATATTTTCCTCAGAATTGAGTGATTCCATAATTTTTTCCTCTGCTTGATCTGTAAAA